GGAGGATAGGTCATGGGAGGGGGGAGGGGGGAAGCGGAGTTGTGAAGGGGGGAATGGGAGGGTGAGGGGGGAGGATAGGTCATGGGAGGGGGGAGGGGGGGAAGCGGAGTTGTGAAGGGGGGAAGGGGAGGGGGAGGGGGGAGGACAGGTCAGGGGAGGGGGAAAGGGGGAGGACAAGTCAGGGGAGGGAGGAAGGGGGAAGGCGGGAAGGGGGGAAGGGGGGAAAGGGGAGGACAGGTCAGGGGAGGAGGGAGGGGGAGGGGGGAGGGGAAGGGGTTTAGGGAGGGAAGGGGGGCGGGGGATGTGGATAACGGTATGGTTGATATGAGCGAAGATGTTGATAATGATGGTCGAGATAGTGATGATGAGGATAATGTTGGTGATGATAATGATGATGATGAGAATGTTGATAAAGATATTGATAATTACGCTAATGATAAAAGTGGTGATGATGATAATGCTGATAAATATCATGATCACATATTACCATTACTATTACCTTTACCATTGCCACTAGTCCTACAATTACCACTACTGCTTCAACTAGTAATAATAGTGATAATATTAATGGCAATAATGATAGTGATAATGATAATAATATCATGATAATACATATAAAGATACAGAGAATTATGATGGTAAGACTAATGATGATAATAATGACAATGATATTAATAATAACAATAAAAACAATAAAAATAACAATAATAATTATACTTATAATAACGTTATAAGTGTGTGTTAGCACATGGGTTGGCAGTTAGTTATAATTATGAAAAAACGTAATGATAATATACTAAAAAAAATCAAATAAAAAGAAGACAATAATAATGATAATAATAACAGAGATAATAATAATAATAATAATAATAATAATAATAATAATAATAATAATAATAACAATAATAATAATAATAATAATAATACTGCTGTTTTAGCAAAAGTTGTACCTAAAGACATATCAGCAGCAAATGATCTGCTATATTCTGGGGCTGCTGTAGTTACCGAAATGGTTGGAATGAGAAATTCAGCCCCAAGCAACAAGAGGGAGCCATGGTGGAAAAAACGATTGGAGAAACAAGTGAGAGAACTGAACATTGATCTAGGGAGAGTGAATACGTTGATACAAAATGGAAAAATCAAACGCAAGTATAAATACGATCTTGAAAGGCGATACAAGGTCAGACAAAAAGGAATAAAAACTATAAAAGAAGAGATCAAGCAAAGGATATCTGCAAAAGTTAGTAAAATCAAGAGATATAGCAGTAGAATCAATCAATATCAACAAAACAGAGTTTTCCAAAACAATCAAAAGAGGTTTTTCAGCCAACTTGACGGAGAAGGAGAGCAACAGCAGAATGAAGCACCAGAGGCAGAACAAGCAAAAGAGTTCTGGTCGGCGATCTGGAGTAAAGAGGTTAATCATAATAAAGATGCAAAGTGGTTGAAAGACTTCAAAAAAGATTTCTAGAAGGAAGAAGGACAAGAGAAGATAGAAATAACAACAGAAAAAAATAGAAAATATTGCAGAAACTTCCTAACTGGAAAGCACCAGGACTTGACATGGTACAGGGCTTTTGGTTTAAAAATTTCCGAAGCATGCATATCCATCTGAAGAACAACCTATCAAGATGTTTAATTGAAGGAAAGGTCCCTACCTGAATGACCAAAGGGAGAACAGTTTTGATACAAAAAGACAAAACAAAAGGAAATGAAGCGAGCAATTATAGGCCAATCACGTGTCTACCAATAGCATGGAAAATATTAACTGGTATATTAGCTGAAGAAATATATTGTTTCATGGAAAAGAAAGCAATGCTACCTGAAGAGCAGAAAGGAGGCCGAAAGGGATCAGTGGGGACGGCAGATTTATTATACATAGACAGAATGATAATGAAAGAAGTTGAAGCCAGAAAGAGAAGTATCGCCGTTGCCTGGATTGACTATCGAAAGGCGTATGACATGGTGCCACATTCATGGATCGTAGAATGTCTCGAAAGTATTGGTGTTAATGAGGAAGTAATTGTATTCATGAAAGAATATATGAAATCTTGGAGAGTAGAGCTGACAAGTGGAAGTGATGTGTTGGGGGAGGTACAGATAAATAGAGGAATATTCCAGGGAGATTCGTTATCACCATTACAGTTTATCATAGCACTGCTGCCCCTTACAAGTATTCTACGAAAGTCTGGAGAAAGCGAAAAAGCACTTGATTCGCTAGTTCAGACAATCAGAATATTCAGAATGGAATTTGGAATAGAAAAATGTGCGACAATGATCCAAAAGAGAGGAAAAGTAGTAAGATTGGAAGGTATTAAACTGCCAGATGAGAAGGTAATAAAGTCGTTGCAAGACAACAAAGGTTATAAGTATCTTGGAATATTACAAGTCGACAAAGTAAAAGGGTAAGAAATGAAAGAAAAAATCACAAAAAAATATAAAAGAAGAGTAAGAAAAGTTCTAGAAACGAAGTTGAATGGAGAAAACATGATTAAAGGGATTAACACTTGGGCTGTATCTTTGATGAGGTACTCAGCTGCCTTTTTAGACTGGACCAAAGAAGAGAAGCAAGGTATCGATCGGAAGACAAGAAAATTAATCACGATGCATAAGGGATTGCACCTGAAGAGCAACACAAACAGACTTTACATCCCTAGAAAAGAGGGGGCAGAGGACTTTTGAGCATAGAGGATACTGTTGATCTAGCTGAGCTTGGACTGAAAAGCTATGTGAGAAATAGCTGTGAAAGATTACTAAAAGAAATTGTAGTAGACTTTAAGAATAGAAAAAAAATTGAAAGGCAAAAGGAATGGAATGGCCAGTTTTTACGACAAACGGATGATGAAGCAGGAAAAGAACGATGGATGTGGTTTAAAGGAACAGGAATTAAACGTGAAACTGAATCGTTAATTCTGGCAGCCCAAGAACAAGCAATAAGAACCAATGTTATCAAGGCTAAGATTGACAACACACAGGAGGAAAGCAAATGTCGTATGTGTGGTAAGGTAGATGAAACAGTAAATCACATTATTAGTGAATGTAATATGCTGGCCCAAAGAGAGTACAAACGACGTCACGATTGCGTGGGAAGAAAGATCCATTGGGAATTGTGTCGAAAGTATGGATTGGCAGCATCAGAAAGATGGTATGAACATCAACCAGAAACGGTTACCGAAAACGAAAGCTGTAAGTTACTGTGGGATTTCAATATTCAGACAGATCAAGTCATTCAAGCCAGAAGACCTGATGTCATTCTTATTGATAAAGAAAAGAAAGAATGCAAAATTATAGACTTTGCCATACCGTATGATAGTAGAATGAATGCAAAAGAGATGGAAAAAATAGAAAAGTATCAAGATTTAGCACGAGAAGTACAGAAATTATGGAACATGCGAACGAAAGTAATTCCTATTATAATAGGTGCACTTGGGACAACCCCAAAGAAACTTTCCAAAAGATTAGATGACCTTGAATAAGAACACGAATTGTTGAACTGCAGAAAACTGTTATCATCTACTCTGCAAGGATCCTCCGCAAAGTGCTTGAAATTTGAGGAGTCTTGTTGACACCAAGTTTCATGCCTTTATCACCACTGACAAAGACAGTGTGCGACACAAACAATAATAATAATAATAATAATAATAATAATAATAATAATAATAATAATGATAATAATGATAAAAATGATAATAATGATGGTAATAATGATGATGATAATACTAATATCAATAATAATAATAATAATAATAATAATAATAATAATAATAATAAAAATAGTAACAATAATAGTAACAATAATAATAATAGTAACAATAATAATGATGATGATGATGATTATGATAATAAAAATGTAAAAAAGTGAATTAATATACATACAATACGTACCATATGTTGCTTATTCTGTGTTACAAGCTAATGAATCCCCAAGGAAAAGGATAAGAGGAGAGAAGTGAGAATAAATAGAAAAAAACACTAATAAAGAAGAAGAAACAAGTAAAGATAAAACAAAAAATAAATAAAAACAAAAACAGGAAGAAAACATATCAGGGAAAAGGAGAAAACGAGAGAAACGAGAGAAAAAAAACAATAATAAAGAAGAAGAAGAAACAAGTAAAGATAAGATAAAAAAAAAGAAAAAGAAAAACAGAAAAAAAACTTATCGTGAAAAAGCAGATAACGAGAGAAACGAGAAAAAAAACAATAATATAGAAGAAGAAACAGATAAAGATTAAAAAACAAAAACAGAAAAACAAAAACAAAAACAAAAAACACAACAAGAACACACACCTCACTAAATAAAGAACAAATAGCAAGAACAGACGACAATTAAAAGCAACGGGTTATCAGGCGACGATAACGCAAGCCGGAATTACTAACCAGGAAGAAGATCCAGGTTGCGGTTGAGTCTAGCGTGGGCGGGTTTCGACGCCCACTTGAACGACAGGTTCCTCTCTGTCCCTTTCAGTTTCTGGGGGAGACGGGGGAGGGGAGGGGAGGAGAGAGAGAAAGGGGAAATAAGAGAGAGAGAGAAAGGAGGTAATTGTATCGTGTATTACTTAAGAGGAGTAATATATGCAAAGATATAAATTATGTATGTATATAAATATACATATACATACATACATGTGTATGTATATACATGCACATACACATATCTGTGTGTGTTGTGTGTGTGTGTGTGTGTGTGTGTGTGTGTGTGTGTGTGTATGTGTGTGTGTGTGTGTGTGTGTGTGTGTGTATGTGTATGTGTGTGTGTGTGTGTGTGTGTGTGTGTGTGTGTGTGTGTGTGTGTGTGTGTGTGTGTGTGTGTGTATGTGTGTGTGTGTGTGTGTGTATGTGTATGTGTGTGTGTGTGTGTGTGTGTGTGTGTGTGTGTGTGTGTGTGTGTGTGTGTGTGTGTGTGTGTGTGTGTGTGTGTGTGTGTTTGTGATTAAAAAATAATTACGTAACCAGCATACCAATTAGCAAATCCCAAAATATATACAATAACAAAAACAACAACCGAACACGATCCGAATTACCTTGTACTGTGCTTTAATCTCTTTATCGAGATCAGGCAACAAGTTGACGAAATCGGACACCGGGTAATTCGTGACGTCACTGTACAGAATCTCGAGCAGAAGCTGATGAGCGAAGCGATACTGCATCTGGGACGAGGAAGAAGATTAACGTTATTTGCGTTAAATTGCTGTTGCTTCTTCTATAAGGATTTTTATCAAGAGAGAGAGTAGCAGTAACAGTGTTTAATTACTAGTGGTACTTCTATATTGTGTATTATATTGGGGGGGGGGGGGGGCGGGGGAGATGAGTAATATTTGCGTTTAATTGTTGTTGTTTCTTCTACAGTGAATTTTATTTTATTGGAAGAGAGAGATTAGCAACATCAGTGTTTGTGGTACTTCTATATTACATTGGGGGGAGAGATTAGCAATATTTGCGTTAGATTGCTGTTGCTTCTTCAGTAATGATTTTTATTGTACTGAAAGAGAGATATAGCAATATCAATGTATAATTACTAGTGTTGCTTCTATATTGCGTATTATATTGGGGAGAGTAGCAAAATTAGCGTTTGATTAATGTTGCTTCTTCTATAATATTTTTTATTAAGAGAGAGATTAGCAATATCAATGTTTGATTACTAGCGTTACTTCTATATTGTGTATTATATTGGGGAGATGAGTGTTTAATTGCTGTTGACATAATGATATAATGATTATTCTTATATTGAAGGAGGAATATTAGTAACATCAGTGTTTATTACTAATGCCACTTCTATGCTGATTTTTATTATATTGGGGGAGAAAAAATAGCCTTATCATTGGTTATTATAAGCGCTACTTCTAAAATTATTATCATAATTAGTAAGAGAAAGATTAGTAATATCAGCGTTTAATTACTAATGCTAACTCTATAATTAATTCTATCATATCGGAGGAGAAAGATTAGAAATATAAGTGTTATTATTTTTGCTATTTCTGATACTGCTATTACTACTACATCTGTTATTATACTGCCTCTGTTATTATCTTTATCAGCATCATCTCTATCATTATCTCATCCTCCTCTTCACTGTGGTTATTATCGTTACGGTAATTATTTTTAAAATTATTATTAACATTATCATTGTCACTATCAATTATTATTATTATTACTAATTTTATTATCATTATTATTATTACTATTATTATTATTATTATTATTATTATTATTATTATTATTATTATTATTATTGTTATTATTATTATTATTATTATTATTGTTATTATTATTATTATTATTATGATTATTATTATTATCATTATCACTATTATTATCATTATTATTATCAATATTGTTATTATTATTATCTTTATTACAATTATCACTATTATCATTAATGTCGTTGATTAATTACTTAATTCATGATTATATAGTGAATCATGAAAAATATCATTGTTTTGGGTTCCTGATACAGATTGAAATATTTGATTTATTATGAAAACAAAATCAAGAAAGGCAGATGTATTCATGCGTGAATCTTATTCGATAAATAACTAATGAGTTTTCAGTGAGTGCTTTATAAGTATTTTACATAAGTTTTCGTTAAGTAGATAATGAATATAAATTTTCGGTCGCTAATTTATGAATATGTATGAGTAAATTGTACAAGTATGCGATAAATAATTTGATAAGCTTTTTCACTCAGATCATATACAAACAAGTTTAAACGTAAATCATACATTTCTAATCTGTAAATGATAAATATGATTTATCTATCGATATACACATTAACAAATACAAAAAATAATGAATACAGGAACACAGAAACATAACCATCCCTGCTTAAAAAAATAGATAAATAAAATAAATAAAGAAAGAGAGAGAGAAAGAAAGAAAGAAAGAAAGAGAGAAAGAGAGAGAGAGAGAGAGAAAGAAAGAGAGAGAGAAAGAAAGAAAGAAAGAAAGAGAGAAAGAAAGAAAGAAAGAAAGAGAGAAAGAAAGAAAGAAAAAAAGGAAGAAAGAAAGAGAGAAAAAAAGAAAAGAAAAGAAAAAAAGAAAAACAAAACAAAACAAAAATAAGAAACAGCCAGAACCCCCAACACATAACAAAGCACTCAAAAGCTCCCCCACACGCGAACAGAGCCACACTACGCAACCACCACGAACCAACCACCCTACCTGATTCTCAACGAGCATCGGCCTTCCCTGTCTCAGCAGAGCGACAGATGCAGGGGCGTCTATGTATCCTTCGCTGTCCAGTTGATCGAGGAGAACCAGCACCAGTAATAACGTGCCGGTCCTGCCTATGCCGGCGCTGGGGGGGGGGATACGGAAGGGAGTGAGAGAGGGAGAGAGAGGGAGAGAGAGGGGAAAAGAGGGGGAGAGAGGGAGGGAGGGAGGGAGAAAGGGGAAGAGAGAGGGAGAGGGAGAGAGGGGGGAAGAGAGAGAGACAGAAAGAGAGAGAAAGTGTATGGTAATTGGTAAGTGTGTTTATTTGTTTGTTCGTTTGTGTATTTATGT